TCTCATCAGGAGACACTCCAGATCAATATGAACTGGAGAAGGCTGATACTATTTGTTCTGCAAGAGGAAGCATAAAGAACACTGGGGCAATTTCCTTTTGAAATCAGGATTTGCTGATATTTATTGCTGAGATCATCTTTGATGCTTGGCTACGCTGCTGAAATCTAATTAGCTGCACAAATCTTGAAGACTTCAGGAAAATTATGCACAGAGACTTGGTTTGTTAGGGCCTTTTGCGTGTTGATGAGCTCTCTGGTGCCAAGTTCCCACACTGCGGATACTGAAAGCATGAAAGAGCCTGTAAAGAAGTGAAAGGCAGAAACAAAGCCCAAGTCTCTGAGGGCATTGGGGACCCCACTGAGAGCCATCACTGACGAAATAACAATGACCAGGCGAGGTTCCCGTCCCTGGGAACTGGTTAAGAAAAAGTTGGAGACACTGGTTTCAGGTGGCAAAGGCAACATACAGGTGGCTTTGATGTCATGTAAGTCCTTGACTATTTTTAGCACCAGAATGACGAAGTCCTCACTCAAGGGCCTGTAAAGGATATTCTTTGCCCCCCACACTGTTCCAGGACCTTCCTGGAGTCAGTGTGAAGGGAGAGGAACATGGTAAAAGATGCTGATGCTTTAACCACAAAGCTGTGTCTTCCTGGGGATTTGGTAATGGCTGTGAGTTCCCCGCAACTCGTTTGCCTTCTTCCACAGCCCTGCTAACGATCCCCAGCCATCTCAGATTCCTTTGTCCCAAATTTTCTTGTATCCTGATTCATGCATGGGCCTTCAGCCATGTTTCAGGCATGGTTTTACGGATTTGCTAAAGACCTCAACCATCACCTTGTTTCTCCCTGAGTTCCCTCTACCCTCTCTCACATCCCTACTGGCTGCCAGTCACTGGTTAACCACTACCTGGAAAGCTAAGAGGTTCTCAAGACTTTCAATCTCATCCTCAGAGGGTGGCCAGGTTTATCCATTCACCGTTCATGGATCCTAAAAATGGCAGTTGAGGAAGAACATCTCAGAGATGTGTTCTTTGAGGTCTAAGTAATTGTGAAGGGCTGCCAGAGGAGTTTAATTGGTGTTTATATTTGTACTACAGATGGTTGGTCTCTAACAGGCAGGGAATGAGACAGAACTGCTACCAGAAAACAAATGGAAGCGGAGATTTGGCGTTCTGGGTCTGGCTGGGATGGAGCTATTTTTCTTCACAGCAGCCATGTAGTACATGCTTCAGATTTGTTACCAAAGCAGGGTTAATAACACAGGGAAGTTTTAGCTATGGCTGAACAGCGTCTGCACAGTGTCAAGACCTTTTCTGCTTCTCATACTGCTCCGCCAGCGAGTAGGCTGGGGGTGCACAAAAGTTGGGAGGGGACAGAGCTGGGACAGCTTACCCGAACTGACCAAAGGGATATTCCATATCGTATGATTGCATACGCAGCAATAAAAGCTGAGGGACAGAAGGAGGAAGGGAGCTCATTGTAATTTGGAAAGACAAAGACCTCCTACCCCAACCCTAAACTAATATTTTTTCTTAATCC